AAAACCAACCCGTCGATATTTAAAATGAACGTCGAGTATCGTCGATAAAATAATTCTTCTCACGTCAATCTCGCATCGAAACAATGGATATTTGTTGAAACGAGCAGTGTCCAGTCGGAAACAAAGTTCGTTATCGTTCGGCGATCGAAAACACTGGCGAAACTTCGACATCGTATCAAAATTGCGAGCGTCGTAAATGCCCTTTCGTTGCGGAATACAAGAGCCGGTGATGGAAAACGCGATAGACATGTGCCACTTTATAAGACGAGTTCACAGCCCTTCGTACGAATTCTGATCGAATAACGTTCCGCTCGATTTCAAGTTATATTCCGTTCCCTATCTTGATCCCGTTTTCTGCAAATAGGCGCCAACGCCATTCAACTTCGACGAACGTGCAACTCCTCAGACACGCTGCTTGCAAACTGCCTGATAGCGCGAAATAAAGGGATGCTATAAAAAAAAGTCTTGCTTGGGACAATTGGCCGTGTATGAAGTATTTTCGGGTGGAAACCCGTGGAAAAATTCGATCACAATATCCACGCTGCTCAGCATAAATTGCAGATTCCTACGGATCCTTTACCGAAACTAGCTTCTACTTTTTCCGAGGAGACGCGATAAGAAAGAACATCGAACGAGTTTGAGAAGTATCGACGAAAAACTCGATCACTGCACCCAGACAAAAGCTGCTGAATAGTTCCTGACTTTATTTCTATCCTTTAGTGTTGATAACGGAATCTTGATTGATGCGGTCACGTGTTATGGACGGCTGATAAGTGGAGGCTTTAGATTTTTGGATATTTGCGACTTGTAGTGTGAGCTTTGGTATTGGGAGTTTTGTTAACTTTTGGGTGGTTATTATAGGGAAGTGAGATATAGGTGAGCTTTTAGTATGTTTTTTGGAGGAAGTCTGTTAAGTTTTCAGATTACAAAATTGTCGAAGTCTCAAATTCTTTGATTTCCAAATCCTCAAACTCTCAAATACTTGTCAAATTCTTAAATTACCAAGTCCACAAATTCCCATATTTCCAACTTTTCAAACTTTCGAATTTCCAAATTCCTTAATTGCAAAATTCTTCATTTCCCAAATTCTCAAATTCCCAAATTTCTTAATTATTAAACTCTTCATTTCCCAAATTCTCAAATTCCAAACTCTCAAATCCCCAAATTCTCCAATTCCCAAATTCCTTAATTATCAAACTCTTAATTTTCCAAATTCTCAAATCTTCAAATTCAATTCCTAAATCCCCTAGTCCCCAAATTCCCTAATCCCCAAATCCCTTAGTCTCCAAATCCCCCAGTCCCCAAATCCCCTAGTCCCCAAATCCCCTAGTCCCCAAATCCCTTAGTCTCCAAATTCCCTAGTCCCCAAATCCCCTAGTCCCCAAATCCCCTACTCCCCAAATTCTCTAGTCCCCAAATCCCTTAGTCTCCAAATCCCCTAGTCCCCAAATCCCCTAGTTCCCAAATCCTCAAATCCCCAAATACCCAAATTTTCCAATTTCCAAATCCCCAAATCCCTAAATTCCCTAAATTCCCCAATTCCTAAATCATCAAACCTCCAAACCTTCTTATCCCGAAATCTTCCAACTCACCCAAATTCAAAAGCTCACATTATTCCCAAAAGAATTGTTCCCCATGTTTGTCAAGCTGAAATTTAATAGTTCACATACAGATAAATATTTGAAAGGATTCCCTTGATAAATGCAACACACGCGGTAAGCTTTTATCGCAACACTCTCTATCAAAGCTAGAGAATTATTTGTAAAAAAAGGAACGATGTAACTATGAAACACAGTCAAAAAGTGCAAATATTTGCCCGAACTTTTTTCATCAGTTTTATGGAATGAATTCATCCATAAAGTTAATATTCACACTTTGTACAACATCTTGTGCAAACGTCTATAAATGGAATTCGTTTAACTGGCGAAGGAGAGTTATTAAAATGAACAATATTTATTACAGAATTTTTTACAGGGTATGAGAGATATTAAATAAATATTCATCTTTTGTTGACGAGTTTTCTGAACTTTTATTGTGGAATTCTACACTGTTCAATATTTTCGGTTTTTGATATTGTAGTGACTATAATATTTTATATTGGTTAATACGGTATTAAAAATATTCTGTTAACAATTATTATTGTTGAATATTATTCAATACTATTCAATGCTATAGGTATCTGATATTTTGTTAATATAATATTGTCTATTGATTGCTGTACTATTAAAAACATTCTGTTAACAATATAACTATTGTTAGAGATAGTTGGAGTCATAACTGCAAGGTTAGCTCTGACACAAAATGGCGGAGCGTCTCAAAATGGCGGAGCGTCTCATAATGGCGGAGCGTCACAAAATGGCGGAACGTCTCAAAATGGCGGTGTCACATTTTACTCCCCATTGCACACTAAATATTTACATAATAAATCTATAAAAACTTGACAAGTATATTTTATTCAACAAAATGTAGTTTAATACTGTTTGATAAATTTCTAACAATCGAAGTACATTAAGTTTCCATACTTCTCGTTATTTATTTCTTGCATTTGATCTTCAGGTTTTCATGACAAAAATAAAAAATAAATTTCTAATATACCAACACTACATGAGTTTATTAAACAAAATGTTTGCAACAATTCTTTATAAAATGTTCCATAAATGTCTCATAAGTGTCTTAACATTAATCCTATTAATGTGACTATCTGATTGAGAGTTACAATCATATAATCAAAAAGAAATAGTATATTTTCAATCTACAATAAATGATTGTTCTTATAAAAAATAAACACTATATAAATCAACTTCTACATATAATATAATAACAAATACAAAAGTACCAGCAGTAGTCTCAACATTCACCTAACTATAAACAAAATTTATATTAAATGAACTAAGTAATTATGTCAGAAGAAACTTGTCACTCACAAGAATTTATTCAATGAATTATCAAGTATAATGCAGTAATCTCGAAGGTCAAAAACAGTGTTCCTTTCGTACGGTTAACTGGTGTTTGCTGTCTTTAAAACTTCCACCTTTATTCACCTGCAGGTATTCGTTTGCACGGAACTTTGTTCCAATATTTACCTACGCAGCATTCTCAGGAAAGTTTCACCTCTATCAACTTCTCAGATTTGAAGTTTCAACTGAATTTCAGCGATGAATAAATTGGCACACGGGTATCGCGCTTTTACGAAATAACGAAGCAGGCCGCGGTAACTAATATTTTTCAAACTTTTACACGATTAACAAACAACTTTCGCGGTGGAAAAAAACAGAAGGGAGAAGAATTAAGGTGGAATAACGAACGTTTCAGTCGGTTGATTCACTCGGCCGTTTTCGTGCTCAGAAAAATATGAACTTGCCAGAAAAATATATTATGAAAAGTGTTGGTTCAAAAGTTTTAGGTACGTTACAAGACTTCAATTTTTTTTTAAGAAGTAATTTTGGTATTTGTCCTATTTTTTCATAGATTCGTTAAACCTTTGAAGCTTTAGAATCATCAAAAACTTGAACAACTCACAGAAATTTATACCCAGCCATTAAAGAAGTAGGCAAACTTCAAATGCATCTAATTATAATTAACCCGCATAAATTAAAAAATCAATAAAAATCAGTAACGTTTACCGAGAATTTGTGAAATGCGTTAATACAGTGAAGGGTGTGCGAGGTATACTGATTAACCCCAGAAGCAACCCCTTTGATCTTCGCACGGTATACTCGAGGAAATTAGAAACACTCGAGGAATTTACGCGAGAGCCAGTTTCACGACTTACGTACATATATACAATTATGTACTTATGGATGTATATGGTTGGTGAGCGGCAACGTGTGCGTGTGGAATCGTTCGCGACAACGAGGCCGATTCACGGATTTGAGGGTGCAACTGGCTCGAATCAAACGCGAAGCGGTTAATGACGCCATCAAGGAGAAACTTTGCCCGCCAACTGCACGTCGCGCCGTGGAAATTTACGCAACCTAGGGATGGGCGTGAAATGTGCTCGGAAAAGGAATGACAGGAAATATATTGGATGTTTTGCAATCTTCGATTAGCGAACGTATCTTAAAAATTGATCTTTGGATGATCAGGGTTTAGTAACATTAGATATTTCAGAGACCTTCAAACTAAATCAAATTTGATCATATATTTTTCTTCTTACTTGGACCAGTAATTATGAAAGAAGCTGTAGTTCAAGACCTTCAAACTAAATCTTTAAATAACCAAAGGTGTGCAACACGAAGTATGTACTTCTCTATGTCTTTAAATTTTCAAATATTTAAAAACATATCAAATTTGATCATATATTTTTCTTCTTACTTGGACCAGTAATTATGAAAGGAGCTGTAGTTCAAGACCTTAAATCTTTAACTACTTCAATTTCCATCATTCGCAAATTATATAATTTCTATGAACGACATTTCAACCAAAGAACAATTTAAATAAAAATGAAACTTCATCAATAAAAATTTCGTCGTACTTCGATCAATAATTATGAAAGGACCTGTAGTTCAAGACTTACTTAAATCGTCCACTACTTTAATTTCCATCATTCGTAACCTGTATAATTTCATAAGAATAGCACATTTCAACCAAAGAACAATTTAATTAAAAATGAAACTTTATTAGTAAAAATTTCGTCGTGTTTCGACCAGAAATTATGAAAGGACTTGTAGTTCAAGACTTACTTAAATCATCAACTACTTTAATTTCCATCATTCGCAAATTATATAATTTCACACGAACGACATTTTAACCAAAGAACAATTTAAATAGAAATGAAAATTCACAAGTCAAAATTTCATCGTATTTGGACCAGAAATAATGAAGAAAGCTGTAGTTCGGTGACTTACGAATGCGATACACGCTCCTGTTGCGTGCAGAGGAAAGAGAAGGAAAGGAGAGGACATGTAGTGAGCAACGAGCGACGACAGTGTTAAGCACAAGCACACTGAATACGTCGAGTTCCCTGCGGTACTCTATAATGTCATGAAGCATGTACTTACATACTACCGTAAGATTCTTCGAGACGTAGGCTGTGGAGAAGGTCGGAGCGTCTGCCGTAACTTCGCAACTGAATGTACCCGAGAGGACAAAGTCGATATCGCGAAGCGTAACCTGGCTCTTATTCGAGTTGTCAACCTGAAACAGAGGATACGTTATGTGACTGTAAGCGTTAACGGCTACAGAATGATTCTAGGGTTATTTACTTCTAAATGTTTCGGGGTTTTACGTTGCTATGAAGTACATTTCTCTTTTTGGGGATAATTGTCACTTAGGGCTAGTTTGGCTCTTTGATTTTTTATTCGTTTTTTTTTTTTTGAGATTATGATGTTTTATGGTTACAATTTTTTGGGCTATAATTTTTACCTTGGTATGTTTTTGAGGTTATCAATTTTCACTTGGGTATATTTTTGAAGTCAGCAATTTTTAGTTATAATGTACTTAAGGCCATCAGTTTTCAAGTTATTTTATCCCTAAGATCGACAGTTTTCTAGTTATTATATTTTTGTAGTCCAAGTTTTATTTGGGAGAAGAATTATTTTTGGTAAATCAAATTTGGAAATTCAGAAACTTGATAACTTAGAAACTTGAGAACATGGAAACTTGAGAACTTGGAAACTTGAGAGCTTAGAAACTTGATAACTTGGAAACTTGAGAGCTTAGAAATTTGAGAACATGGAAGCTTGAGATCTTGGAAACCTGAGAGCTTGGAAAGTTGAGAACATAGAAGCTTGAAACCTTGGAAACCTGAGAGCTTGGAAAGTTGAGAGCTTAGAAACTTGAGAACTTTGGAAACTTGTGAACTTGGAAACTTGAGAACTTGGAAACTTGAGAACTTGGAAATTTGAGAACATGGAAGCTTGAGACTTTGGAAACCTGAGAGCTTGGAAAGTTGAGAACTTTGGAAACTTGAGAACCTTGAAATTTGAGAACTTTAAAACTTGAGACCCTTGAAACTTGAGAACTTGAGAACTTAGAAATTATGAAAATACAAAAACACAAAACATACCTAATTGAACATACCTAATTTTCAAAAATCGAAGTCAACAAATAAACATCTTCCAATAAACAATTTTCATGTACAACTTAACTCTAATTCCATCTGAATTAATCGACTCATCAAGGCTCTGAAACGTCATTACATACTTCCTTTGTAACATAACATCACGTAGCATCCTAAAATTAATATTCGAACAAATTATATTTTACATTAGAAAACTTGATGCATCACATCTGCGTAATTAGCGATAATTTCGTAAATCCTTCCAAACCTTTTAAATCTTGAAATGCAAAGCTGCTTTGAAGAGACCCTGTCCGTAAAGAGTTTGAAAGCTTTCAAAGTTTTAAACTGCAGACATTTTTAAAGTGGTATTAACATTTTAAATCTTGAGAGAGCTTTGAGTGCCTTGTATGACATATGTTTCTTAGTTATATAATTATGCTCTGCTGATGACAAGTGTACGTAGTACTTTGTAAGAAATTATTCAGATATATGTTTCTCATAATTTTCTTGTATTAAAAAAAATTTCAGTATTTCTGGTATTTTATTATTTTTTTCTTCATTACTTTTTATTATTATATTTTTCTATCTGTGGTGTTGTATTATTTTTTCCATACTGTTATTTATTTTATTATTATAATTTTCTGAAATTATTTCTGACACAGCTACATGTTGAATTTATTGATATTAAATATAATTGCTGTTTAATGTTTAATTAAATTAATATTTTTTAATTTTTACATTATATATTTACATAACTTTAATATTTAATTTAATTAAAAATTTTTGGCATGAATAAAAGTAGAAGATTTTTAAAATCTCCTAAAATTGTAATTATTAATAATGAATCATTAATATGAATTTTTAATAAAAATTAAATAATGAAATTAATATTGCAATGAAGTACACAAGCAATGTAAATATAGAATACATTTACAATACAGCAATTTTTGTTCCCAATTAAAAAATGAAAAAGTAGTAATATTAACATGAAAAATATCGGTGTCCGATTTCAAAATTGTTTCTTTTTTCATAAATAACCGTTGAAATTTATTTTATATTCTCTGAAAATTGTTTCACAACGAGGATTACACAACATTATTTCAAACATATTGTATATTAATTTCATTTTATATTCTACAAATTCATCGAATTGTTATATAAATTTTCAGTGAAAAATAAAGTCAGTAATTTCCCATAATCTGCAATTTTTATTCAAAAATAAAATGTGAGAGGAATTTTGAGGAATAAGCAGCTCTTTAATTTGATATGTAACATTTAATGTAAATAAAATAAAAACAACGAAGCGTGATATCTTAATTCTTTTTCATTTTAATAAAAGCACTACTTGTTATAAACTAATTAATTTGAAGAAAATTATTGTACATTTTAATTATTACTTAAAGTGAATTGTGTAAAAATATTTAACACATAATAAATTATCACCCATACAAGCGGATTTTCATTTTTATTTTTAAATTTTTAACAGAATATATTTTTTTCTATACTGTATAAGAATCTTTTCTTAAAATTTAATATATTTCTGTCTTGAAATCGAATAGAAATATAAATGATTAGCAGATATTACAACCCATGTAAACCGTAGAATTTGGAACAACTTAAAATTGATGTAACGTAAGTTAAATGTACAGAAACCCACGGCTTTAGATCTCCGCGGTATATTTTATTGCAGTACATTTGAAATCCAACTTTCCAGATGTATGCACATATCAGTTCAAGAAATGTTTTATATCACATAGGAACGTATCACGTCGTGTCATATTTGCAAAGTAGAAATATCAAAGCTTGAATTATATGCTCTCTCAAAGAGACTTTGAGAATGAACAAATATTTATTTACTTCGAATATATTTTGTACAAAATAAAGATGGGAACTGTGGATAGAAATTGGAAATTTGTAAAATGGCTATAAATTAAAAATGTAGGAAAGTAACATATGAATGTATGACATTTGTCAAATTAATATTTAATTATTTAATTTTCTTGAGTTTCCACGAGTTACATTAGAAATATATTTTAAACAAACATTTCATATCAGTCAGGGTATTTTAGTGCTCTAAAGATTAGTTTTAGATATACATAACATAATTACATATATGTATAACATAACATAACATATGTGTAACATATGTGTAATATATATGTAACATATAACGTAACATATAACGTAACATATAATGTAACATATGTGTAACATATGTGTAATATATAGGTAACATATGTGTAACATACGTGTAACATATAACATAACATGTGTGCAACATATAACATAACATATGTAATATAATATATGTAACATAACATATGTAACACACGTTAATACACATATACACATATACACATATATGCGTATACACGTATAACATATGTGTAAAACACGCAATACATATACACATCACATATGTGTAAAACTAAAATAATTTTCTAATAAATATATTTTATAAAAACCTTCAAACTCCCACACAATGAATATAATACTCCATTCACATTTCAAGAACCAAAGTTCTCATTTCCCAATACGAATATATTTGAACACAAATTCAGAAATGAAACATTTCAACTCGATAAAACAGCGGTTTTATTTCAACTCAATTTCGGAAATGAAACATTTAAATTCAATAAAACAGCGATTTAAATTCAGCACAAATTCGGAAATTAAACATTGCGCCAAAGATGGCGAACGCGTTAGGACAATGATGCAGAAGCAGTTAGCAAGTGATTGAACAGACAATTCGAGGTGCAAATTGCAACGTGTGAATTGAACTCCCGTTTAGCTTGGGATTCGCTTGAAATAATAAGCTTTTGTTCGAGTATTCTGATCAATCCATATTCCCAGCATTTCGAAACGCAATCGTTAGTAATAATTTACGTATTACCGAATGCATGTTTATCCGTGCGCAGATTTAGCGTGGCTTGGGACAAAGAAGTGATGTGATTAAATTAACGCCATTCATATTTATTGTTTCAACGATGGGAAACACGTTCGAAATATTTGAAACTGCTATTGTCGGATAAAATTGGGTACTTAAAATTTTATTCTGGTAATTATGTAGATGGAGAATTTTTTTGTGCAATGAAAAATGTTTTGTAATAGGTTAGAAATTAGGAAGGAAAAAATACAAAATAAAATTGTCAGATTTTAGACAATTTTTGTATAGTCTTATATTTGGTAGAAGTAATTGTGTGAGGTAATTTAGGAAAAATTTTTTCAAATTTTTGTTCGAAGGATATTGAGAAAATAAATTTTTCAATTTATGTATTTAGAAATTTTTCAATTTATGACATTACAAATTTATAAATTCATATTTTCACATATTCACAAATTCATTTCAAATCAGGTTGATTGATCGACTGATTAATTGATTGATCAATTGACTGATTGATTGATTGATCAATTAACTAATTAACTGATTTACTGATTTACTGATTGACTGATTGACTGATTGACTAATTGACTGATTGACTGATTGACTGATTGACTGACTGATTGATTGACTGATTGATTGACTGATTGATTGACTCATTGATTGACTGATTGATTGACTCATTGATTAACTGATTGATTGATTCATTGACTAACTGACTGATTAATTGACTGATTGACTGATTGACTAATTGACTGATTGACTGATTGACTGACTGATTGATTAACTGATTGATTGACTGATTGACTGATTGACAGATTGATTGACTGATTGATTGACTCATTGATTGATTGATTGATTGACTGCTTGATTGACTGCTTGATTGACTGATTGATTGACTGATTGATTAACTCATTGACTGAGTAACTGATTGATTAACTAATTAACTGATTTACTGACTTACTGATTTACAAACTCATAGTTTTACAAGTTCATTTTCCAACTTTCCAAACTTCCAAATTCAAACTGCACAAATTTACAAATTCACACATTCAAAGATTCACAAATTCATTTTACAACTTCACAGATTTACAGATTCGCAGATTCACTGTGTTACAAATTCGTAAACCAAGATTTAAAAATTCCCTTTGTAAGTTTGCAGATCTAAAAATTCCCAAATTGACAAATTTCCAAGTTCACAAATTGACAAATAAATTTACAGACGTATAAATTTACAAATTTATTATTTTGCCA